ATGTTCGTGAAACGAACTGCGTGAAATGACGTTCTGCAGCGGAAATTTGGTCACCCAATCGAACTAGCATCCCATTTGGTCACGACCAGCTGCGAACAAAACTCGAGATCTTCGATGTCTGGACGAAAAGAGAGCCGATGTACACAAGATGGCCGCAACAATAGCCCGTGGAAGAAAAGCGTCCTTGCCATCTCACGACCTCTCCCCGATGCGACGCGTCAGTACGCTGCGTCCGCGGCGTGTGACGTCACAGGCAGTGCCAGTGCTGCACCGGTGACGTCACACGAGGTCATGGTCGACGACAGATCGCTGCGGCGCTGCCGCCGACCGTCTCTCCGTGGCCGAAAGTACCGCGCACGATCTCATGAGACGCGGTGGGCGGCGGCCGAGTCCACTTGGCCGGCGACGGGGGAGGCCGTCGACACTTGCTGGCTGTCCACCGGGTGGGTGGGTCGGGCGGCGTGCGGCGGCCATCACCTGTCCGTGCGCACCCGCCCAACCCCGGAAACCGCGTCGGGTTGACGCGTGTGCTGCGGGTCGCCTTGGGACATGCCGAGTAGGACGGTGATAATTGCGGAATAGCTGGGCGCCCACTCAGGTCACTGTCGCCTATAGGCTAACAAGAGCTGTATGCTTGTCTACCTTCCACCGAAAAAATGGGTCGCTGCCACACACACCACTTCGATATCGTCAGACTTCCCGCCTGTCCGGGGCGTGCGTTAAACCACTCCTCCAGCCTACGGATCACACGCGCACCTCTGTTGGGCGGGCGAACTGTGTTCGACGCCTCGCCAGGCTGTACCCGGCGATGCGCGGATAACGACCGTAGCATCTGCCGGAAACTGGGCGCTACGATATCGAGGACGCTGAGTTACGGACGGAGCAGTTTGGCAATCCATATCATAGAAACAGCGATAGAAATCAAATCACCTGGCGACCGACTAAAACTGCGTGGCTGAAACGTCATCTCCATAGCAAATGAACAGTGTCATCGCGATGTCAATTTGGACCTTATCGCCGACTGGAATGCAGAGCTTCCCCATTTGGACCTTATCGCCGACTGGAATGCAGAGCTTCCCCATTCTCCCCATGCCTGATCCTACACCTGCACATTGGACAAACCACAGCATTCCAAATGCTCTAATATCTCCGTGAGATTTGCCACCTTGTGGCTTCAGTGACCGTGAACGCCCACGAACGAACATGTTTGGTGACAGTTTCTTGGCAGACAAAATACGGTCGAGGCATTGAACGTATAGCGAAAGGCCCTGATATAGCGTGTTACCTCCTGCAGGGTGAGGCCGATGGTGAATCGGAAGTATTTTAAACCTGCCATGAACCGCAAGGCTCACGCTGATTAAGCCCCAACGATACGCATGTTCCTTTGTATAAGAATGGCCTCCACAAAAGGACGAGTGTTTGAAACGGCAGCAAAATGACACATGAGGCCGCACTATGATGTGACGTTATGCACCCAAAAGCTTCTTTTTTTTTGTTCCAAACCCCAAATGTGCCCGGAATATGTAAGCTTGCCCATGCGTGGTCTTACGTCGGTAAATGCCCCGGTTTGCACCGTGAACTATTCATGCTAAAACATCGCTGTTTAAGACGGATGGTCATAGCAAGATTATTGAAAAGGAACATGGTGCAGGTTGGCATCACACGCTGCGCAACTTCATGTTTGTCATCGTTTCCAGGACGATTGCAGTGCACGTGCAGGCGATAGCGATATGGACCCTTCGTCTGATACGCTGAGGATTCTTCGTTGGCATCGTTTAATGGTGAAGATGCCTGGGAATCTCTCTTTTCGGTAAGTAGTGCTCTGTCATCATTCGTCAGCACGGTAGCAGCATGCCCGGATGACCGTGAGGCAATCTCCTGAAGCTGTTTGTTTCGGTTTCGTGAATAATACTGAGCAGAGGGTTTCTAGTAAAACGTGTTGATTACAACGTGTAAGGTTTAAATGATAGCAGTTTTTAATATGAACAGATACGAGTTAGAAAATATATATCATCTAAATATGGCATATATACGCATATACACCGTAACCATGTACGCACATATGCACATATATATATATATATATATATATATATATATATATATATATATATATCCCTCTATCTCCCTCTCTCGTCCCTAGGTACACTTAATAAGTGGGTGAAGCCATTCGTCAGAGCGATATATGGACGTTTTACGCAGGCAGACAAAGGTAGCCTTGCGTCCCGACAACCGTTCCGCGGCATTTCCGCCAGAACCGTTATGGATCCCAGCAGTCGTCCCAGCTGACCTACAAATACTCCCCGGAACGGTCCTGGCTCGCCCGGCTGGCTACGCCTGCCGGGGCCAAAACGCCAGACTCCTACCATTTCGGTGAGTGCGGCGAAGTGTTTGCCGTTACCGGCGCGCGGTGGTAGATAGACCGGGTCCCCCATGACGGGGACGGGAAGACTCCTGGCTCCGGCGCACCGCCCGACGTCAACAAGCCACCGCACCTCTCACTGCCCGCAGCACGTCCAGCGGCCACGCTATCGTGCCGCCGACCGGCCGCCCTCGACGCCCAACGCCTCCACACCGACCGCGCGCGCCGCCCGAGCACGCTGCCCGAGCACGCCGCCCGAGAACGTCACCCGAGCACGCCGCCCGAGCACGCCGCCCGAGAACGTCACCCGAGCACGCCGCCCGAGAACGTCACCCGAGCACGCCGCCCGAGCACGCCGCCGCCACGTCCACGCGCGGCCCCGGGCACGGCCGGCGACTGCAGCTGGCGCGGCGCGCCCTCTGAGCGCGGCGGCGCCTGCCCGCCGTCTACGGCCGTCTACGGTGGCGGCGGCCATGGCCGGGCGCGGCCAGCGGCCAACAGGCGGCGTCGCGCCATTGATTGCCCCGTGAATAATGCACGGCAGTCGGACGTGCGGACGGGTCCCGGTTCACAGACAAATATCTACATGAGCGGCCACTCGCGTGACGCGCGTTCCGAGCCCTTGCACGCCGCGGCCGGCAGAAATAGCGCCCCCGCTGCCGGTCGATGCCACGCGACACCCCCCCCCCCCCCTTCTCCCCCCGCATGACCTGCGGCACTGGGAGCGGGTGCCGAGGTGGGACCGCGCGGGCGGGCCGCGGGGTCACGGTGGCGCGCCGGGCGTAGACTCTGGCGACACATGCAGGCTACTTCGCGCCCGTTTGCAAGTTCGGCGACCGGTCGCCCCGCGGGCGGGGTGGAACCCGGCTGCAGGAAAAGCTGCTGCACCTTGCTTGAGGTCAGCACACGAGGACACGTTTGCTGCAAGCATTGGGAAGCGTTGGCGCGGAGTTAATTCCGCAAAGCGAGCTGTTAGCAGCGCTGGTGCACGGCAATGACGGGGCGATGTGACAACTGCGAGAATTCCAGCAGCCAAGGTGCTGATTATTCCGCCGGCCGTGCGCTGCGTTGTTTCGTGTGCCACATGTGTGATGCTGGCAGGAGTCCTGCGCGTGCCAGGGAGTGCAGACCGTGGCGGGATCTTTAAAGATCGTGCACGTGGCGGCAGGCGATCGGTGAGGCAAGCATGCGCATTGCGCAAGATCACCACGCATGACAAGTACCGGGACACCTATGAAATTGGAAACACTACTTTCTGCTTGCTCCAGTCATGTGATGTCGTGCAGTTCTGCAGGTTTGGTCAGCCGGGCTTGAAAGCCTAATTGCCTTGGTTTTAGCCATACCCTAAATTAGGCTTAGTGGGCCACGCTTGTGATCACGGACTGCTCACCGGGCATGTAGTGTAGAGAAGAACACGCACCGGTGAACAGGAACAAATCATAAACGAAATAGAATGCAGAATGAAAAATGGCCTCGCCGTCACGCAGGCCCCATCCATCAAGGACGACACAATCGAAGCGCTGCTTGCCTGGAAACAGCATGGCCAGGTATTCACTGATGGGAACGGAAAGGAAAACGAAACGCCTGCCACGTAATGACTGCTTGCTTAGCCTTATTCCAGCGCTGTAAATCCATTGATTCACGCCTTCGTGCGACTAGAAGTCGTAAAAAACATCATTCACATCTTTGTTGAAGCTTGTAATGGCCGGATTGCGGCTTAAAACCTTTCATGCTCATTATTCTGTACAATCCTCCACGTTTCACTCGAATTAGGTGCACCCGTATCAAGAGACTAGAATGAATGACACCACGTCACGTTTCTGTAGAAGCAATCTCACTTCTAGGTCAGATGTTTTGTAACATGTGCAAGCTGTTCTAAACTTCTGTCATCCGTCGAACCTAAATGGCATATTCGTCATTGCCTGACATTCTGCGTAGAGCTCACTGGACGAAAATAGCACACACGGTGACCCGGACGACAATAAACATGTGACGTCATACCCCGGAGGTGCCGACCCTCTAGCGTTCGCAGCGAGCCGGACGACAAAAGTTCTACATGAGGTCACGGACGATAGGATCGTCGTCGGTCGCCCGGAATAAATTTTGTGCTACTTGGTCACAGCTGGACAGAAGTGCGCCAAAGGTTCATCTGTAAGAAGTTAGTTTTAGAGGACAGGGCTGACAGTAGATAAAGATACTGTGTCTCATAGGCTACAAATAGCGTGATTTGCAGTTTGTGTGGTTAAGGCGCACGTGAGAGAAAAAATGTCAACGTCTCGCGTTTGCGGTTATTGTCGCGAATTAAGAAAATGTGCACAGAAGACGTACCCCGCTGCTCATACGTCCAGCAAAGATTCTACGTGACGTCACGTAAAAAGAATATTCTTGGTGGACCATCAAAACACGCTAGATGTTTATTCACGGTGACTGGAGAGCAGGTGACACTTACCCGGGTACCGGCGCCCCCAGTTTCTGCCGTTCTACCCCCTCCCTCCTGACGCTAACATGACAATCGCATCCTTGGTGTCCCACAAAAGGACCAGGGAAGATGTCGTTTTTCATCAAAAAGGTGGGAACCACCCACTCCAACGTTCGGTTTATAGCACAGCGTGCATTGCAGGGTGATCATGCCACACGCACCCGTGCCTCCCAGACTTTTGGAAACGACAGTTTTGATCATATCTTTGCAAGGAGATCTACCAATGTGATATAATGTGTGACAACTATGGGTATTCAAAGTATGTTTGCTTATGCGACAGACACAACTGCTACTTTACTCAAATACTACTTTCATGCCTTTGGCTGGGGTTTCAGGCCGTATTTTACATTTCAGAAACCGTTAAGTTGGTAGTTTAACTGACCCAAGCTTACCCCCAAGTTCATGGACGCTTGATTCGCGGCGAGGATCTTGAAAGCAAAACAAAACATGTCGTGGAAACTGATGTTTTTCACTCTGTTTCAGTTGAAATAACTTTAGAGCAAAGGTCAATGCGGTGATTTGCAAACATGCTCTTATTTATGGCATGGCTTGCTCGTGCGAGTAGAAGGCTATTTCATTCGCCCGCATGGAGAATGCGCATTGTTGTTCCTGCACAAACAGCTGCAACTGACGATTAAAACCACCATCGACATGACCGCAGCGAATAAAACCTTTGTTACTCGTGCAGGTAAGCTGTGTAATGCCACGTGCAACCATGCAATATTCTTGGCATAGTATGTAGTTTTGGTGCTGGGTCCCGAAACCGTGCGCAATAGAAGCAATCGTGGCAATGGACGGATGCTGCAGTCAATGAAGTATGCAAATAACTTACAAATATAATCGCTGTCGGATTCGCTCATCCCTGTTCATCGTCCCGCACTAGTCAAGCATCGAAGAACGGACGGCTTACATGGACAGAACAGAACGCAGCGGGCTGCGAGTACACATTCGCCGTTGGCGTGCTTTTTCCTTGGTTAGCGCATGTTCGTTCCTTTGCGCTCGGATAGTTCATGGGAAAGGTAGCAGGTGGGGTGGTGCTTCACTCTGCCTGCCTTAAACTGATCGGGTTCACCGATGTGATCAACCATACCTGACCAGTCCTTACACAATTTGGATGCGCCGTATCTCGTTTTGCGTGATGTGGTATTGTTCTGCATGCTGCTTGTTCACTTTTCACGCTGCAAAATCTCTGCTTACTGCTATGATCTCGTAATATTTGCACCGTAGAAGGCCGGCGTCTCTACTATGCACCGGCATAGAGAAAGAGCTCTCGACTGTGGCGTGATGACTTCGTGAAGCGAATACAAGAGCGCCAGAGTGGAAATACGCGCTATATTTTACGCTCGTTAGCATTTAAAAGTAGGCTCGAGCACACGCCCTTATACACGCACAAATTATCGCGGCAGCCAAAACCACGGTGGTATTTTTTTTAGGAAAACGCCCGATATCTCAAACGGACTCGAGTTGTTTTCCAGAAAGCAATAGTGTGGCGCAGCGAGGTGAAGCGTGCGATTAGACCAGTGTGAGACACTGTAACAGCTCGCGTCACCAACTACTTCCGCATTCCCAGCAGCAGAAACCTACAGTCTCTTATCTGAACAGGATGATGCTGGTTTAGACGCAAGGGTCGCGCAACATATCACGCAGCGCGTGGCCCACAGCATCGATATGCATGTAGTGATGCCTTAATGTATGACCACTCTCCATGTTTGGATTCGGAGGAGAGAGAAGACAAATCTGGCTACGAAACTAGAAAGCAAAATTGGCCGGGTAGTTTGTGCCAGAGACAGGCTGGCGACTCTGCCAGATCCCCGGTCATTTTAAACACATGGCACGCCAGATTTAGTGAGCTGACTCAGTAAGTCACTGTGGTTGTTGCCACTGCGATAACACTAACTACTTCATCCGGTACATCACATTCCGGTTATTTTACATGTGCTGGTGATAATGCTGAACAACTTCATACGCGCACTAAAAGCTCTAAACGGGATGCCGGCAAACGGTGTCACGTTTACAGGTATGCCCGCACCACTGCACCTTAGTGCAGGGTTCAAACTGCACGGCTGGGGAACCGGAGATGCAGGGTCCTCCCTGCTCCCCGCGGTGCCCTCCCTTCCTGGCAGGGTAAGAAGCAGGCGACGCGACGCGGCCTCGGCTGCTAAGTGTTTGAAAGTCTCAATGATAGCAACAACAGCTTGAAGTTTTGAACAACCCAAGGAGGGAGGAAAATTGAAGTCAAAGCCATGGAAAAAGCCAAAAAAAGTGCATTTTTTTACCATAGTACAGGAACTTACGAAGGATTGCGCGCATACTTCAGGCATGCGTCCTTTTTTCATACGTACTTTTGTGCTAAAACCGGCTTACACGCGCCCCACGCGGAGCATCACACGCAGCTGTTGTCACTTTGAATATCAACCGGATTCAGTTGTTAAGAAATCCCGTTTCGAACTTAGTTCAGGCAGCATTGCACTCACTGGGTGCACTCAGCTACCCAAAAACACGCCCACGAATCGCGATGCGCCGAACCAAGCCAGCCCGTGCAGCGCACGCAAGAGGCGACAGTAATGCCACCTGGCTCATGTACGGCGCAGGTGGCGCTGGCGGCGGGCAACGCTGAGGGTCCGCGGCAACACCCGCACTGGAACCTGGTGGAGACGCC